CTGCATTTCAATTTAACCAAGTGTCCTGCAGTTTACTTGGCAACCCTACTCTCAGAACATTAACAACTATGTGTTTCCTGGCAGCTATGGGGGAAGCCAGGGCTTCTCCAGATCCCAGGCACCAATGTCAGTTTCTCCTTAAGATGGTGTGGTGACGGTGGTGATGGTGGCCAGGAGGTAAGGCAAGAGGTAGAGACAATGATGGGGGGGGGGGTGTGTGGGCAGGAGAATGCAAGCACAACTGCATGAATGTAGGGTGATAAATAACAGAATTTTCTCTAAAGATGAGTCAACATTCATTATCTCATTAGTATCTGTAGAACTATACTGCATTAGACACTGGGAATACATTAGCTATCAGGGAGCTTACAAAACATAGCTTGACTATTATGTTGAGCCCTGGTTTAAAGATGCTTAATGAATGCTAGTAAAATGAAATCAAATTTTTCAAAGGTATTATTTTTAAGTAATCTCTGGAACCAATGTGGGGTCAAGCTCACAATCCCAAGATCAAGAGTTGCATGTTCCACGGACTAACCAGTCAGGGGCCCCTGAAATAATTTTTCAAATACCACCTCATTAGATGGATATTTTCCTAAATGACTACCTTTGCAAAAACAAACAAACAAAACCTCCAAAACCCCCAATCTATTATATGTATTGATTTCTAGATCCTTCTGTAGAGAAATAGATGGTCTCCATCAAATACTGGAATTATTATTCAGTAAGAAAGAAAAATCCATTTGTAAATAACATTTCAAAAAAAAGTTAAAACACATTAAATAATACTTTTTATTTAGATGTTCATAAGGCATATCTATGAGAATGATATAAAAACATGGCATGTAATTTGATAGCAATATTTTGGAGATTACAGAGTTTTAGCAAATACCTATTACACAGTTATAAAGAAGATGACATTTTGCAAGCAGATACAAAATATCTAATGAAAGATCAAGGCAAGAAAATGAGTATAATTAATCAACAATGGAAAGTCAATTTTAACATGAATTGCACATTATACTTTAAAAACTTTTAAAGGTAGGATTTACTGCAATCTAGTTCATTGAAAGTGTTAAACAGTATCACAACAAAGAACCAAAGGCCAGAATGGATTAGTTTTGATTTCATACAAAGAAACCCAAATATACAGTGGGTCAAATATAGGAAAGGGAGTTGAATAGTGAAGGAGTCAAGATCTTTCTAGTTTCTAACTGGCATTCCTTAGGGTGTGGCCTCGGTCCTCTAGGGCATTTGCCAGGCCTCCTGTTGTAGCCACAGTTCCGGCAGCAAAATGGAGGAATATGACGAAAAGCACTTGCTGTTTTCTTTGAAGAGATTTCTAGGAAGCCACCCCTACGTCCCCCTCCAACTCACTGGCCAACACTCAGTCCCATTGGGATACCTAACTACCAGGGCAGCGGAGTAATGTGATGGGCAGCAGCTTTTAAAGAAGTAGGGTGGGGACGCCTGGGTGGCTCAGTTGGTTAAGCAGCTGCCTTCAGCTCAGGTCATGATCCCAGCGTCCTGGGATCGAGTCCCACATCGGGCTCCTTGCTCGTCAGGGAGCCTGCTTCTCCCTCTGCCTCTGCCTGCCATTCTGTCTGCCTGTGCTCGCTCTCTCTCCCTCTCTCTCTCTCTGACAAATAAATAAATAAAATCTTTAAAAAAAAAAAAAAAAAAAAAAAAAAAAGAAGTAGGGTGGACACTGGGAGACAACATCCAGTCCCGGTGCAGGCTGGATATCTGCAAAGCCATGAAAGACTTTCAAGGAAAACCTTCAGAGGATACTTCCTTGAAGTTGGCAATTTGAAAATCAAATGAAAGCACCTGTTCTGGTGATTTAATTTAGTCTATCCAGCTACCGGGAGAATCCTATATGTATAGTCTGCCCTAATTTCGGATGACTGCATGAAAGCCAATGATTTGGAAAGTTAAAAGAAATCTCAGTATGTATGCATGTTAGGCTGAACTAAATACCGTTTTGGTATTCTATGGACAGAATCTCTGAATATTAGCACTTTATAATTTTCTTGCATTAAAAAAATTGAAGAACCCATTCATTCCTGTAAAAGCCCCTGTGCAAAGGTAAGAACAACTGTGTTTCCACTAAAAGCAGTACAGGTTCATTTAGAGCAATTACATATACTGAATATTTACCAGAATTTGTTTTGCTGACTTAATGAACAATTGAGGGTAGAGCATCTCATTTTCATGACAACACATCACAAGTAGAAATCTTAACACTGAACTGAGACATGTTATACTATGTGTAGCAATGCTTTTAAGTCAGAATTCACAAAATAATTTCAACACCAAATTTTAGGCTGTTTGAATACTTACATCAAAACAGAGATTCTATAGACTGACATAGGTTCAATGTTCATAGTATTACTAAAGAAATAGTTATGAGTTACATTTTGGGGATTTTATTTAAAATATCATATAAGAAAACACATTTCACAAATAAACCTCTATTGGGGGGCAAAACTCTTTGTTCAGAATTTATTATGACATAGTTTAATGGTAAAAGGCAGTTAAAAAGAATTAAAATTTTATCATCTTATGTAAGAGATAAATAATACAAAAATCAGATATGATATATTCTTGAAGCCCTTTTACACAAATAAATTTCATAATTTGTAGTATGAATATACCTTAAATTACTATTAACAAATTAATTTTGAAAGTAAAATTCCTTAAGTCAAGATTAGGCTAATTTATAAGAAATTAATCAGGTAGTTTGATACTGGAGCTCACTAGCCAATCCTGTATGTAGCACAAAATAATTATCTCCAATAAATGCCTATAAATATAGTTTCTTCATACTTTAAAATATTTTAAAATTTAAATAAAAATCTCTACATGTAGACAATCTGGGCTAAATTTCCATATATGCTTTGAAAAATATATGTCAGCATGAATATAATCTTATTTAAACATGATTTTAAATATTCTTAATAAAGGAGACATATGAAATCTGCACACAAAAGCTAAATAGTATGATTCAGCCCATGATGATTTTCCTCTCAGGAAAAAATTACTTAGTTTTTTTGCATAGGATTAAGACTGGGTATATTTTCTACATTCTTATAATTTTCTCAGGGGCACTTCTCAAAGTACACATTAGGAAACAAACCCTACTACTTTAAAGTCCCCACCACTTTCTCACACCTAGTAAGAGCAGAATTCAGTCCTACTTCTGAGGCCAGAAAAATGACAAAAAAAAAGTGATTATGAGAAATAATGACTAAGAAAAATAATCTGGTAGAAAATGGTAAAATAAGGCAATTAAAAGTCAAATAAATAAAAGTCAATATTTCTGTACTCTTAGATAGGCTTTTAAACATTTAGAATTATAATGAATTTATTACATTTATTCTAGAACTTCAAAATTATTTCATCTTTGTAGTACTAAAAAGGAGATATTATCATTTGAAACAAAAGTTACATCCTATATACATTTTCATAAATTTTGTTTTTTCACATTTTCAAAGGCCCCATTTATCTGTAGGAGTGATAATGTTATTTGTATTATTGGCTACTTAATATACGCGTGCAGCAATATAATTCAAGAGTCCTCTAACTTTTATGAATACTTCATTCTATTTTCACATTAAATGGTGAAAGCCTGGTCTTGAGAGAGTGAAACTTGAGGAACAAATACTGAAAATATGCTGTTAATTTCACTAGTGCACTACAACAGTTTATGGGTCTTTTCCTTTAAAAGTTCTCACCCAACTGAATTCCTACTATGGACTAGCAAGTAAGCGATTATCAAGAGGGAAAGAACAGAATTAAAATAAAGAAAATGGAGAGCTCAATTAAGAAGTACAAGATACTTAAACTCACCAAGAAGAGACCGCCAGAGAATCATGAGAGATTTACCAAATTGACAAGGTGCAGCAGCAGGGAAAGAGCCAGTGGTGGGAAAGGTAGTGCCTACTAAATAAAACTCCTTCTAGGGGAGCCTGGATGGCTTAGCTGGTTAAACGTCTGACCCTTGATCTTGGTTCAGGTCATGATCAGGTTCGTGAGATCAAGCCCTGCACTGGGCCCCTGGGCGTGTAGGCTGCTTAAGATTCTCTCTCTCCTTTTCCCTCTGGTCTACCCACCCTACAAAATTCCTTCTGTTTTGGCAGCTGCATTCAGTAGTACCTCAGTGGGTAGGTTTAGAAATGTTATAATTTCAGGATATATACTTACATAATGCATATACTTGTATCTTATCTGCACCTTTCTAGTTTAATAAGGAAAGAGTAAATGGGGAAAAAATGTCGGGCATTCTAATCAAGGTTTGAACAAAATGCAATTTTAATGTGGAATGTCAGCACTGAAAAATTTTATGAATAATTTGTATAATTGTATGTCTCTAGAGTAGATTTATAATTAACCACTTTTCTTAATATCCTTCATGCTTGCAAACTGCTCCCTAACGAATGGTTGAACAGGCAGGAGGACTTCTCAGGAAGAGTAAAAGAGATGACCAACTCTACAAGGATTTTTAAAGATTCTGGAGGACCTCAGACATTCATTAAAACTGCTATGGTCCTATCTCTGCCGGAGTCCCTCACTGCGTAGGGAATCGTATGGACTGCCATGGGGCTCCAGGGTCACGTCCCAGGCAAGATCCTCTTGCAAGGTAAAGAACTGTAGATTATCCCAAAGCAATCATAAATTTATGATTGTATTATTTTCATAAATTTTTGGTACCCACAACACACTGTAAAGAATGTTAATGCCTTTACTGACAAAACAGGAAGCATCCAGACTGGCATCATGATGGTAACACACGGGGACAGAGCAGAGACAATCAGCCTGGAAATGGGAGCCTCTGAAATAGGACTGCCTAGACTTGAATGCTGGCTCTGCCTCTTAACTAACTGCATGACGTTGGGCAAATTACTTTTCTATCCTTCAGTTTTCTCATATGAAAAATGAGGATAATTACCTTTGTTAAAGGGTTGTTGTAAAAATTAACATGGGATAATACAAATAAAATGCTTAGAACAGTGCCTGGCATGTTAACATCCCTCAGTGAACGTCAGTAAAATCTTACAGCAGATAGAGTGGGGACTGGCCAGCGTGCAACAAAGTAGATCAGCTGACCAACAACTATTGGTGGGTAGACTTCATTCCTTCCCTCTAACTGGAAACAACTGTAAGATTCCTAGGCTTGGTACCATATTAGAAAAATCACTTTTGGAAGCCAAATACCATGGTCTTCTCCCTAACCAACCTAATAACATGCAAATGAAACCTCTCTGTAACAAGATAAGAAATAAAATCTTTCATGAGGTACATATTATCAGTATGCATTTCACGTCTCCATTGCATTTCAAATATAATTTCAGATTCTATTTTTTTAAATTTGTGTTTGTTCACAGGTTACACTGGTTCATACAATTAATTATATTCTTCAAAACTGATTTTATGAGAAAAATATAGGAATGTTACCATTTACCCTTACCGAGATGCTAACGTAACGTGACCCTTCTTAAAGTTAATGTGTGATTATGCATTTCTATTTCTTTAGCAATTAAATTAACAATTAAAACCTTAGGTAAGCTTCAGAAAAAAAAATATCCATTAAGTTATATTAAAACTTAAGATTCTGCTGGTTTGCAAATTTTTTCTTTTAACATTATATTGTATCTATATTATTAATCAGAAATATCTTTTGCCTGATTATGGAATACAGTTTGTTAAAATAGGAGTGTTATGGATGTGCAAAACAAAATAGACAAGTTGACAACAAAAATTCATATTGCCAAAATATGACATCTGTGAAAATTAATTTCAAGAAACTCCTACCACTAATTTGGTTGAGATCTTACTGGACAGATTTCAGCCCACATCAATTTGACAGTGCACTTGCAAATGAACATAAAGGAAGTCATAAAAACAATGGCATGAGTGGAACTCTATAATGTATCAGTGAGCACCATTTATCATCACATTACTGTAACCCTCTCCGGTGAGAGATGAGGAACTGCTCCTCCAATACCTTCTTCTAGAAATTGGCTCTTTTCCCAACCTTTTTTAATTCTCTTAAGCTTTCGGCTTATACATGGAAGGAGTAAAATAATCTTACCCAGAATTACAATTGAGGGCAAAACAAGAGCAAGAACGAAGTTGGGTGGGGTGTAAAACCGGTAGTATTCTTCTTCAAAGGCTCGTTTCCATCCATAAATTAAAACATGGAAAGTACTTATGAGCAGAGCGACATATCCAAGGGTAGACTTGGGTAGAGGAAGAAGAAAAAGAAACAGAGAATAAGGAACAAATTATTCAAACTCATAAATTAACCTATCCAGCGCCACCATATTCATAGTGTGCTAAAACTATATCTTAAATTAGTGAGCTACTCTTTGTTCTCTACTGAATTAAATAATTATAATATTTCCACAGATTCCATATATATTTATTCATGTGTTTGCACATCTTGTCTTATACAAATAAAGCCATATTGCATATAGTCTAATACTCTATTTTATTATATCAAGAATCTTTTCCTCATCATTAAATACAAAAACATGACTCAAATGCTATATAATAACCTACTGAAAGGATGTGTTATATAGTTCACTTAGTCAATCCTTTTTGTTGATCATTTACTCTGTTTCCAACTTTCCTCCACCATAAGCCCTTTTCTATATTTTGGTTTATTTCTTTAGAACTTCTTTCTTTCTTTTTTTTTTTTTTTAAGATTTTATTTATTTATTTGACAGAGATCACAAGTAGGCAGAGAGGCAGGCAGAGAGAGAGAGAGAGGAAGAAGCAGGCTCCCCGCTGAGCAGAGAGCCCGACGTGGGGCTCAATCCCAGGACCTCGGGATCACTACCTGAGCCGAAGGCAGAGGCCTTAACTGACTGAACCACCCAGGCACCCCTAGAACTTATTTCTAAAAGGGGGATTACTGGGTTTTCCTTATGGGTACTGATGAAAACTGCAAAACTTCTTTACAAAGGTTATCCCCATTTCCACCAGTTGTGGATATTTAAAAATATGTTATGTGTGTGTGTATTATATATACATACAAATATACATACATAATAAAAATTAAGTGCTGAAGAGCATTCTCCTCCCCCACATCTTTCTCCACATATATATATATATTAGCTGAAGGTAAACATGAAAAATCTTATACTGTTAGTATATAACAGGAATAGCATTTCAAACATGCGGCTTTATTGACCACATTAAATGAAATTATTAAGAGTACTTTTGCTAAGTGGGTCATAGGTGAAAATCTAAAAGGTCAGCATTCAGGGCTCCCTAAATTATTACGCTTGATTGCTTACTTTGAGAAATGGTCTCTGTAATATCACATCGGTCTAATGATGTAATGTCTAACTTCACTGGGAAAGGATCGACCCTCCAGCAGACAGTTGTTCTGTTTTGCAGCCACTCATCTCAGTTTAATGATCACTTGCCCCCATCTAACACCTTTTCTCAGAGGGCCTTCTGTCTCTTTTCAAGTGTTAAACTGACAGTTGGAAAAGTGTTTGAAGGAAAAATGAATTTAGACAGGGAGATGCCCTTAACTTGAATGAGCTCTTTAGATGACTTGAAAGAAAAAAAAAAAAGTAAATAGGCACACACAAAACAAAACAGAATTGTGTGTACTGTGAAATGCCAGTCACCCACATATTTTGCTACAGATCATTTGGATACAACCAATACTGACTTTTTTATAATATAGGTGGGGTCTGGGTTTGAGTTACATTTTACAAATATGTATATTTATTAAATAAATCTTACTGGAGGAGGTGAATGTTTATTAAAGAACACAGTGCTGTTTTGAAACACTTTTGTATATACTCATAGACACATATATACAACTAATACGCAAAATACATATATGAACAAGATTCATAAGGCTGGTTGCTTGTCATAATCCATTAGCCCAGTCACCTAATTTGCCACTGTTCATGTCTGTGTGTTTACACACACATTTCTTTTACAATATTCAGACTGACCTCCCCACTTGAATTTAAATTAATGAGATTTTTCTAGACGGATCAAAGTGACACAAAATATAAAGTAATTCTTTACTCATTGGTCGAGGAACAAATTGACTTTTGGCACTGAACTTGATCTAAGCTTACCCATCCCCACCTGCATTTTTTTCATAAAAATTTTTTTTTATTTTTTAAAAAAATAAACTTTAGCCGTAACATAGTAGGCAGTGCTATCAAAGTCTTCTAATAGAACCCTGTACTGGCTTTTGCTTACTAAACCAGAACGGTCCTAGACTAGCTTCCAGCAAATTTCACTCCCTGAGCTAGATGCATAAATGCAGCCCCAAAGGCACTCTTTTATAAGAAGCATATTTAAAATTAAACTGTACCTAACACTTAAATTCTATGCCACCCAACCTCTCACCAAAAAAACCCAGGTACCTGAATAAAACTGAATTCCCTCCAGTTTAAAGCATTGCTCACTGACGGGATAGAGGTGACTGCCAGGAGGGACAGTAAGCCAAGGCTCATTATGCCAAAGGAGATATACATTTCAATTCTCCAGACTTCTTCCTCGTTCCAAGAGTTTTCAATATTTGCATGAACCTAAGGAGAGCAAATGTGAATTTCCTTTATTTGGCAGAATAGTCACAGAGATTCAATACAGTTTCACTCCTGGCATAAGAATACCTCATATATGGACATATTTAAGCTGTATTTTTTCAATGTAATAGCCTGGAATGGAGAACGTATTACCTGATGGTATTGTGCCAGGTGTGGGGAAAAGAGAAGGGAGAGTTAAATAGAAGGAGGTCTAAGAGTCTCTCTTTCCTTACATACGTGCAAGGGGGTGGGAAAATCTGCCACCTACGCTGTCCTACATCACAGTTACAGGGAGTCTGGAGTCCCAAGACCAGGAATGCCAAGTGGTTGGTCCCAAGGTGACAAAAAGAAATAAGTACTGGCAGTTAGACTTAGTTTTGAGGTACTTTTCTAAGTTGGTTTAAACTCAGTTGAATATTTTGGGTACATCCTGGCTTTAGATCAACTTAGAATACGGGAAGAGAATTTCTAAATTACGTCTTTATCTTCCTCTCTCACTTGAAGAATATTTGTATGTACTTTACCTCTTTTTTTCCTTCTTTCTTTTCCTCAGGAAGCTGAGATTTCCCTATGGATAAAGTCATACTGAATGCAAATATTTATTCTCTTGAATTGGCTCATTGATAAATTTTTCCAACTGTCCAATTGCTTCATTCCTCTATAGTACTTTTCCAAATGTTTTTTCCTTACACTGATAATACATATATAATCAAGTCAGACTTGATAACTCCGAATGTGTGGTATTCTGCATAGAGACTGCTTTCAGAATTGTCTATTTACATGTGATGGTATAATTAGAGTATAAATCAAAGGTTGGACTCCCTGGGCTAAAGCTTTATTTATTTTTAAAAAATATTTTATTTATTTATCCGTGAGAGACAGAGAGAGAGAGAGAGAGAGAGGGAGGCAGAGGCAGAGGCAGAGGGAGAAGAAGGCTCCCCATGGAGCAGGGAACCTGATGTGGGACTTGATCCCAGAACCCTGGGATCATGACCTGAGCTGAAGGCAGATGCTTAACTGACTTAGCCACCCAAGTGTCCCTAAAGCTTTAAGTATCTATTCATGCATAACAGATTCTAACTTAACAAAGTTTCACTCTGTCCAGTTGTAATTAACCAAACAAATGAAATTAAAAAAAAAAAAAGCTACTTCTGAGCATTAGGCCCCCAGAACAATTATACCAACATCCTGAAAAAAGCCATAGAGCTCTTCTGTGAAAAAAAGGCTCTTATTATCTTGTTTTATGTCTATATCACAATACAGAACAGCAACATACCTCAGTAGACCCAGAGCTTCCAACCTGCACCTATATGGCCTCCCAATTCATTCATTCATCCCACAAATACACTTTGTGAGTGCCTTACTGTGTGCCAGGCATAGTTCTAGGCATTAGGCATCTATCAGTGAACAAAGCAGACAAAGGTCCCTCCTCTCATGAACTTACATTCTGCTGAGAGGACACAGACAGTAAAGACAATAAACAAGGGGAACGTGTGTATTAGGAGGTGGTAAATGCTATTGAAAAAAGTGAGAGTAGAGCAGAGTAGGAGGGTGAGAGGGGCGGGGGGGGGGCGGGGGGGTTGAGGCAGATGCAGGTGGCAGAATTTAAAATGGTGTCCAGGCTCCGCCTCTGTGAAGAGGTGAGATCTACACCAACAACTTCAGGACCAGTGAGGGAGCTGGTGGGGCAGATATCAAAGCCTAAGGATTCAGTTCAGAGAAGAGGTGTTTTTAGAGACATAATGGCTTAAATAATATCAATTCACTAATATTTTTTCACATTATTTTAGGTTGAAACTGTTGAAACAGGCATAAGTACCAAGCGCTGCACACTTGGATCAGGGTGCCTTGGTTCCTTATGAAATGCAAAGCTCCCATTTGTTTGGGTGCAGTGTCCTCGGCTGTCCCTGGGAAATGCTATGTCAAGTAGCATCAGTGAAACCCTTTATATTACATTTGCTGAATGCACATTACTGAGGAAAATTACCCTCCACTCCTCCACCAAATGCCTTGCATGAAGCTTTCTGGGAGATGTTCTTACAGATCTAAGTGCTACAAAGGTTCACATGAGGACCTAAAGCTTCACTGGAGTATTTTCCTTTCTCTTTTTGATAACAAAAGCCTTGTAAATGTACGTCTCCTCATCTTGGCTTCCTATCCTGTTTTGTATTTTCAGTGGTTCTAATTTTGTCACATATGTTTACTGAGAGTTGCCTTATCATTTCACAGAACAGGGCCAAATTAAACATTGAAATACCTTTTTAATGCTAAAAGCAATCACTGCAGTCATAACATTAAAAAGAGAGAGAGAGAGACTGAAAAAACCTACTAACCCTTTATTTCTATTGTTCTTCTTTAAAGGAAGATGTATAGTACCAGCTTTTATCCTAAATGATTTTGAATCGGCCACACAATTCTTAGACAGAAACACTGTATAAAGAATAATTCTTCCCTCTCCCTAAATATGCCAAAATTTCGATTACAAGGTCTGTAAAACTTGACAGTATTTTAAATCTCACATTTTACAGATTATACTGATAAGGAAATTTACTAGTATCCGATGAATAACAAGCACGTTCCATACCTGCTGATAAGCCATGTTGAGAAACAAGTATCTCTCTGACCTTCTCATTGGTAAGCAGAGGCTGTAGGCAACGTGGACTGAAGCGAAGAAAAAGCTTAGTAACCCAAGCTGTTTTCTGCACTGTAGCCAGGTCTCCAACCAAGGCGGAAATTTCCTATACTTGGTGCCATAATAAAGCTGATAAGCAGCTGCCAGGAGACCTGCCAGGTATACCAGGGACAGCAAAGTAATGGCAACTATGGGCAAGGTCTTATTCACAATCTCGATAGGAATCTTATAAAAATCACTCTGCTGGTTTCTAGCGTATGGATGTATCACATCTCTGACAAAGGAATAAAGAAAGAAAAACGTGGCTAGGCTTATGGCAACCACCACTGGCCCTCTCCAGAGAGTAAAGAGTCGCAGGGGTAAATTTTCAATCTCCCTAGCTGATGATAATGATCCCAAGTCAACAGGAATGAAATTCAGCTGACGGGCAAGTTCAATAACCTGTTGTCGAGCTTGAATGTTGTTGCTGCATATATAGACCTGTGGCAAAAACGAAAGACTCATCGTTACTATTGTTTATAAACATAGTGATGTTTACAAACTTCACTTCCCCTATGGAGCATGTGATGAGCTTGAGTGATACAAAAAGTTAAGGAGATAAAGCATTTATTAACATGTTAATCTTTTTATTAATAGGTTAAAGCAGTGTCATAGAAATGACAAAGACCTTGCTACCTATGATGACATGAAAATAAAATGCAGAAAAATCCTGCTGGAACCTGGGATCAGGACGTCCTCAGGGGAAGGAAGGAGGAGTAAAGAAAGGTTTCCAGAATGTGTGGTTCAGCAGCAGTGGCAAGGTAAGGTCTAGATGGAGTTTGGGCTGCTGGCCATCCACTGCCCACCCCAGCTCTCACTCCCACAGGAATTGGAGTGCACTTGGCTCCCCGGGGTTCCGAGGACAATATCTAGTTCTAGGATCGCAGTGATTGTCTCATAGAGGCATTACAAGCACTATCCTTTATAGACATTCAGCAAGAGAGTAGATGGGCATAGACTCTGGATGGTTGAATCTACAAATAAAAATCTCTAACTTATGTCACGATGTTGTACTATTTATAAGATTTATCTTTGGCTTAAAAACCGATCCACCAAGGGTCTCTGAGAAACCATGAGTAATCTCAAGTTATTATTATATCACTTCATGAATCAGAATATGAAATTGTTTCATCTGTAAATAAGGATACTATACCTGTGTGGAGGAAAAATGGTATTATAAAGCTTGGTTAATTTAAATGGTAAAGCAACGGCCATTATCTAAGACTAAGGTATTACTGCTGTATAATGAAGTGATGGGTGAGGGTGACTTTCAAACTACCCAGACCTCTTTGATATATTATTGTAGCTGGGAATTCAACAAATACCTGTTGAACAGAAATTCACTGCTGAAGTGAGCCACTATTACTCTCATTCAGGCCTAGAAAAATATTGTCAAGTCTCTGGGTAATGTTTGGGGAAAACAAATTCCTAAATATATCCCTGAAGATGTTTATATAAGGTCTCTGGAATAGACCACACTGAAATATTTGCATGCTAAAACCTGCATTATGCTGACAATATAGAGCTCTTTGGGTTATTAATCTTACCTAACGTTAGCCAGATGAATAACAAAGTCTATATTGTGACACAAATGTTCGTGAACTTCTAAAATGGAGTGGGAAGAATACCTATGTTCTAAAGAAATAAAGAAAAGCATTCTAAATTAATTTATTACAGCTGTGACAATGCTGAGCTTTTATTAAATTTCTTATTAAAAACACTGTAATAAAATTTAACTATAAATATAGCCTATAAACTATAAGATTTATTTAAACTTAAATACATTTAAAATACATTTAATTTATAAACCTAAAAGTGTAAATCAAACATTAGTCACAAAGGCAGAAGGACTATGGAATACAAATGAAACTATTTCTGTAGCTCACTTTGAATTCAATTCCATATTTTTTGTAGTTGTTAAAGAATTAAAATTACCACAATTATGGGCAAAGGATTAAATTTAGGTTTCTCCCTAGTTTGTTTGGTGTGTATCCATTCCTAAACTTTGATGGATATCCAAAAGGAAAAAGGATTTAGAAATAGCCTCTGGGAAAGCTGGGAAGTATATAATCGTTTACTGGTCTTCCAAATTAAAGACTCGAAAGTGAATGGTTATCATGACCTGATACGCCATGTATAGTGATACAATACTTGAATTCATTTTCTAAGGCATTGAATCTATGGCATGAACTGTCTTTATGAACAAAAATAATTTAAGTATCTTATTATCATGCTTACCTATAATGCATAACTACACCTCTAAAAGATTTCTAACATGCAGTATTTTATGTGTTTACTTATAAAAGCTCCCGTTCCATAAAGGCATTGATGGAGCTCCCCATCTGCTTTATTTTCAAGTTGAACTAGATAGAACCCATACACTAAAAAAGAAACTAAGAAATCCAATCTGCCTCCCACACAGATTAAAATCTACACCTTAAATAAAACAAACGGCACTATTTTAAATTCTACGAGTAATCTTCATAAAATAAAAAGGCACTTCTACAGCCTTCTTCTTGAGGATCATACTAAGTAGTGTGTCATACACAGATGGAACACTGTTAGCAGACAGCTGCCAGGAAGAAGGAGGAGGAGGGGGAGGTGAGTTGGGAAGATAGAGAGAGGTAGAAAAAAGATGTGTTTGTTATTGTTTCAAGTTTTGAGGAAGCCAGGAGAGATTCAACACAGTGGGTCCCATTATTCGTCAGCCAACTTTGCCCTTTCCGGAATTAGCTGGTTATGACAGGAAAGTCCAAGTAATTTTCTCAGCCTTCCACCTTATTTTATCGGGGTAGAAATGTACCTTTACAAGGTCAGGACATGAATTTTCAGGGGCTCAAATATGGTTTTCAAAACGAGAATCAGTGGAGAGTGTGAGAATTTGGCTTTTAAATGTATGACATTTGTGTTACTACTTAAATACAAGATACCAGATAAATACCAATAAAACTGGGGATTGAGAAGTACAAACTTCCAGTTATGAAATAAGTCAGTCATGGAAATGAAAAGTACGGCATAGGGAATGTAGGCAATAGTATTGTAGTGATATTGTGTGGTGACAGATGGTGACTGCTCTTCTCGTGGTGAGTCCCGAGTGATGTACAGAATTGTCGAATCATGATCTTACATACCTGAAACTAATAGAACACTGTATGTCAACTCTACTTCAGTTATTTAAAAAAAAAGAAATTAAAATTAAAAAAATTAAAAATAAAATACATACCTGCCGGCTGGCATCCTTGGGTCCTAACTGAAGTGCCCAAGCCGAGACAACATTAAAGCCTTTGACAATCAGGGAATCCGGGAATAATGAAGCCAAATATTCAGCATTGGATTCTGGGTATTGGTTTATCCTCATGTTATTGCTCACATCAATCAGGATTTTACCCACAAGCAGATGTCTGAGGTCCCAAAGGGAGGTGTAATGTTCTCTATGTATAGCAACAAATATTATATTTGTTTTTGTGAGAGCATCTTCGTGATGAGTGACATCTACCACATGAGGGAAGAATTCGGAAGCAAACTTGGGATTTCTGCTTCCTATAACTACATGATAGCCACACCTAATAAGTCGAATCGTCAGCGATTTGGCAAAATCCCCACTTCCAATTACACCCACAGTGACCTTCCTTGCATCTTTGATACCATTTATGCCATTTGGCAAAAAAGTTTCGCTAAGGTTCTTAGGGCTTCCCATCATTGAGATCGATTCCATGATACAGGCTCTTTCAAGATCTCCAGAGATATCCTAGGGGAGAGAAAATAAAATCCTCATCAATTACCGATTACCAATCATTCATCCTCTTCCAGACATCATAATAATACCCCTCATTTCTGGAGGTAAAATATTTTGGCAAGCTCTAAAAATTAGAGCCCAGCGAGACACAATTTGTAAGCTGAAAGAGACTGTCAGAATAGAAAAATGAACTGTCACAAAGTTGATATGCTAAAGTGGAGCTTCTAAAATTTTAATATACACATGAATCACCCGAGAATCTTGTTAAAATGCAGATCCTGATTCAGTAGTTCTGGAGTGAGACCCAAGATTCTCCCTTTCTAACAAGGTGATGCCAGTGCTGCTGGTCTCCTGACCTCTCTTTGAGCAGCAGAGCACAAAAGGCAAGAGACTAAAGTTTTCACCTAGAATTTTAAAAAATTTTTCTAAAAACAAAATTCTACCAAGTCAAGTGGGTCAGAGTGGCCAGTCAGAAATGCCACTAGAGGTGGAGGGGACAGTGCTAGCGTGTGAGGGTATGTATGACAACAGAAGACACAGACGCCACAAAAAAACTCCATTTAAAACTGGCTTGATTCATTCAGGGTGGATTCTATAAATTGTCCTAAATACCTCAATAGCTAAGGAGTAACTTTATTATTAGATGAGAATAAGATAAATTGGTTAATAAAAAATGAACTCCCTGGCATTTAAGTAATATTTTAAGAAAAACAGGCTTCACAATATAACAAGGATGAATTAAATACCACTGACTTCTATCATTCACTCTATATTCTATAATTTATTGAGAAAGACAGTTTTCCAGTGAAAAGGGGGTTAGCAATGTTTTTATGGTCTTAAATTACACAATACTTATGAAGGCTTTTCCTTCCCCCTTTGATTTGTGGGCTTCATAGAATACGATGCACTTCTGTTCCCTGAAAAAAACTGTCAAATTCTCTTTTACTTAAGTGACTAACATCTGAAATATTGATATTTGTAATAACTTGCTCAAGAAGACCACATCAGATGGCCATGAATCAGTGTCGTTGTTGGATCTGAACAAAAAATACTCTGCCGTTCCATCCCCATTGCACAATTTCTTTTATGCTTACAGCAGATGTGGCTCACCACAGAGGACTTAATGGATTTTACAGGAACAGGTAGAATGCTTCAAAAAACATGTTTTGGGGATTTTTCCTAAGAAAAATTTAAAATTTCGACTAGAGACAGAAAAACTCAACTTTTACCCTACAAATGGGTCACAATGGCTCCAAAAAAACCTGTTAAACCTTCTTTAGGAAAACAATAATAATATTACCTAATACTCATATAGCACATTCTGTGTGCCAGCTGTTTGTGCTTTTTTGATAACGGACTAAATCCCACGGCCACTCTATGAGATAGATGCTAATATTGTCATGCCCATTTAGAAGATGAGGAAACTGAGACACGCAGGAAATGACTAATTAATTTGTTCAAGGGGATGAGTGCGAAAGTCAGGGAGCTGGGATTAGAACCCAGGCAGTCCAGCTAAGGCACATGTCACTTTGGTGCAGGTAAAGAATTTAAGAAAGGGGTTTTTTCTTTGGGGAGGTGTGGGAGGGGCAGGCTGGTGAACAGTGATGGTTGTGCTCGGATTAATATATTCTCCGTCTCTGGCCGTGGTTCACTCCTCAGCATTACCTAGTGATCTTAATGTCTAACTCAGATCCTAGGAAAGGAGAAAACACACTATTTTTGAATCTATTACACGTTTCATTTCACACTTTTTAAGACAGAAGGGGTGGTAATTATTTGCTTCCCATGCAAATGGGAAAGCCAGGCAGAGGTCAGAGGCACCAGAGTAAAAGAAAACATCAACATCCTCTTAGAGGTATCATGGGCTCTCTTGGGCATCAAGAGGAGTTAAAGGAATCAGAAGTCATTAAATCAATGCTCATTTCATTCAACGATCCAGGGTGAACTGGCCAACTTACCCCTCATTATAGATGTTGCCTAAGGGGGAAGAGAGTTACCAGACTCACACACAGGAACCCAAGTGTCTACCTGTACCCCAGCCGGAACTCTGAGTAGAGATTGTGGCAACTCCCAAATAGAATTGCCCCATTGGCTTTCAAACACACAGGAAGAAGAGCACGAGGTTTGCTCACTCTGCCTGGTGCTCTGGGTGTCACAGCAGGTCCTACCCCTTGAGCAAGTGGAGAGGCAGAATTGTAATCTCAGAGCTGTTTCCTCCCAAAGGGGAGAACGGCTTTCTAAAGCAGTGGTTCTCAACTCCAGCTGCAAACTGATGTGACCCGAGGAGCTTTAAAACACAGTGATACCTAGTCACCTCCACCCAGATTTTTGTTTAAGTGGTCTGGAGTCCAGCTTGGGCATCAGGATTTTTTTTTTTTTTTTTAAAGATAATCGGGTGTTTTAACACAGCCACGTTTGAAAACAACTCTACTAAAAGATTCAGGATTCAAGCCAATACGGTTTGAATAGTTTGGTATTTGGAAATAACAAATGCGGCTCTTTGATCCTCAGTTATGCTCATTTTTGCACTGTCGCTTGTAATAATGAAAAATAACACTAGCCAGAGAGTAACAGTTGCCACGAATGCAGGAAGCTGAGGACAAGGCCTGCCGCCCCTCCTTCTCTCCTCCTCTGGCAGAAGCAGCATCAGAAGGACCACTCACTGTTTTGCAATTTCCCTTTCTCCACTTTCTGTAAAGGTCAGTACCATTCCTTAAAATGTGTCATCCCACTGCACAGGATACTTTGTTCCTGTTGTTTCATAACATGCAAAATGGTCATAACATCCCAGAATGGTCCAGAGATGGTATCTTATCTTTCTGTCTGACAAGGGGCTCCAGCTGTCCAGACATCAGAGGCGCTGCTGATCGGAGGGGATGGGTTTCCTAGTGGACTGACTTGCTTTAGAATGCTGCCTACCAAATTCCCACGTGAATATGATCACCTGAGATCTTGTTAAAATGCACATTCTGATTCTTTATGTCTGGCGTAAGGCTTCAGATGCTGTGTTCCTCTCAAGCTCGCAGATGATGCCCCTGGTCCTAGTGGTTCATGGGCCACACTCTGACTAGCAAGGCCCTAGAGTCTCTCTACCTTTTCATTGGATGCTATTCCCAGGTAATACAGACTAAAGAATTGAGAAGACTATGGAAAGTTCTGTTTTTGAAGTATTGAGGAAAAAGGACAGTCTTTGGCTTCGGGAATCTCCTTGTTTTCTGAGTCTGTTTCCTTTGTTACATGGAAAACAAAGAGGTTGTACTTGACTCCAGCAGTCCAATACTAAAACCCCTTTTGTTTCCAAGTTTTAAAGCTATATAATAATAGTAATGTCACGACTTTATATTTAACACTGTGACACTTCAACTTTATGAGCTTGATTTAAAAGTGTGATTTCAGTAGCACATGGGTTCCTTGAAATTTCAAGATTACAGTTTTCTTGAATGGCCATTTGACCTGCTGTTTGCATTTAATCAAGTATACCATCAGGGTCAAAGGATTATACTCAGCTACACGGCCTCCTAAGATTTTGCTTAGAAGGGTTTCGTTGACATTCCTCTGGCTGAATGGCAGCTGTTATGCTATATAACTAGAACCTATTTTGTTTCATATACAAACATCCAGGGCATTAATTTTTAGATGATAGTAACTCTGAAAGGGACTGTCCTCAGAGATCTAGATGACATCTACAACCTGATCATTTAGAGAGGTCAAGAAACTGTAATCCCCCAGGGCCACGAGATGGGGTAAGTATATTTTTGACTTTGCAAGGCCACATCTGAACCTTTCTTCTCCTCTCCTACAGACACTCAGCTCCTTTGAGGTTTGGGGAAACCTCATAAAACCTCCCTCTAAGCACTGCTATCATCTACTGACTTCTAGCTTACTCTTGATCATTAGTGACTTTGACATACATAGTTTTACACACATAGTGTTCCTCTCTGTGCCAGCCAAGTTATCCTTCTCCAGGATGTCTTCATTCAAATGGCTAAGGCATTCAACCTCATGGCCTCTTGTTTCCAACAGTTAGTCATCAAAAACAATTCATCTCTGCTCACCCCACTCAGTCATTCACTTTCTGACATCTCCAAACACTATCTCGGAGCCTTCCAATAATCTTAGTCAAATAGTTGCAGTGATGATTCAAGTTAGCAGAACAGACCTGATGCTTTGATCCACTATTTTCTCACTCTCCATCAACCTCCTCCTGATTTCTCTTTACCCACCCTAGACTCCATAGCATATAGTTATGGGCACTTGCTTAAAAAGATCAACTCTTGTTAAGGACTAAATGCTTGTGTTCCCCTGCAACCTGCCACCTCAAATTCTACTAAAATCCTAACTTCCAATGGGAAAGTATTAGAAGGTGTAGACTTTGGAAGGTGATCAGGTCATGAGGGTACGACCCTCTTGAATGGAATTAGTGCGTTTATAAAATAGACCTCAGAGAGCTCTTTCTATCTTTCTGCCACGTGAGGATAGCAACATGACAGTCTATGAACCAGGAAGTGGGTCCCCACCAGACACTGAATCTGCCCTGTTAATAAGAATAAATATTCTTTGTTGTTGAATGTATCAAAAGATGTGAGATCCAAAAGGGATGGACTAGGTCTATAGGTAAGATCCCTCTCTTTGCTGATCAAGACATGGCATCAAGTGAGTAAGTAATAGGTCAATGTCATGGTTACCGGTGGAACACAGAATAGCCTCTCCTGATGTCCTGACTGTGTCCTTTTTCGAAACTGCAGTCCTAGTCTTTCCAACTTCTGAGGTACCTTCCTTCTCACCTTCCTTACTCATTTATGATCCTTTCTTTAAAAATGTATTTTGCTTCATCTGTGCTACTTTTTCAGTATTAGAATATAATTATGCTCGTTCACTACAAGTATATTTCCCATGTCACCAGTAAAACAAAAAGTGACTCAAATACAGCTTTTCATTTCTTTTTTGCACAGTTAGCTCAATTTATCATTGTTTATATTGTTTCAACCTTCTCCCACCCCCCAAAAAAGACTGACTAGCTAAGTGAAAGAAATGGCAAATCATTTCTAAAGAGACTGCAAGATGTCTGGGATGGATATTGTTCTTCTGTAAATAGCTTTTAAGCTTGGAAACAACAGACAGGAGAGATGCAAAGTAAAACAAACAAACAAACAAACAAACAAAAAAACACACAGACTCACTAAAAGAAAAAAATAAACAGAGGAGATCAACGCAAACTAGAAATGATAAAGGTTAAAAGGCTGTGTGGGGGTGGGGCCAGGTAGGGCGGCTGGGAGGAGGTGGTTTGGAGAGAATTTTAAGGGTTCCCAGTAGTGGGGCTCTTACTAGCACTCAGCCTCAATCTTGAGAGTGGGGGAAGGGGCCGGAGTTCAAATCCTACTTCTCCCAGTTTCATCCATTACAGTGATGAGTGATAATTAACTATGGCTCGGAATAAGTTTTTCCATCTAAGAAATGAACTGCCTGAGGAGTAAAAACTGACACCAATCCTTCTCTGAGGAAGGGGTGGGGAAGATAATAAACGGAAATCTCTGGACAAAATTTTCTTTATGGCTCTGCTCTATTTTAAGAGCAAGATTTTTAGGGCATAATTTTCAACAAGTTTTGGCTGAGGCTGAACACAGGGCTTAAAGATAATTTAGGACACTTCAAAGAAGAGGCCAATTACCTCCGAACACATAATGGCCTAAACACACCGGGGTCGCATAATTGGCTAATAAACAAAATGACTACTGGAAATACTTTTTCGCAAAGCCGCGCTGCATGATATTCTGGGAGATGCGCTGCGTGAACCCAAAGTGGTAGCTAGACTATCAGGAAGGCGAAGGTAACCTGCACGTCCTTTTCCTGTGGGCACATCCTACCTGGGACGTTGTCTCTCCTGGCCTCCTTTTTCCTGGGCCCAACCTCAGGACTTTCTGGGGAGCATGTGGAAGACCAAGAGGAGTAGAAGGAACAATCGATGAAACAGACACCCTTCCCCACCCTTCCCACTCCCCACCTCTAGGTGCCCGGAGATCAGTAACGAGCCCGCAGAGGGCGCGGAATCCGGGAAGGACTGATGCAGCGTGTGGCGACCACTGCATCTTGACCCTCAACTCCGCCTCCGTCACCTGGTCTCGCGCTCCTACCCGACCCGCTCACCTCTGCGCCCCCCACGCCGGGATGGGGTGAGCCTGGCGGCTCTCCGGGCGCGGCGCCGACTCCCCCAGGGGCCTTCCCGGGCACCAGGGCCTAGGGACCGCGCCTCCGCCCGGCGGCTGCAGGGTGGCTGCCGCGGCGGTCGCGCTCCGGTGGCTTCCCCGCCTCCCCTAGCTGGATCGCGTATTGCTGGAGAGGAGGAGGAGGAGGAGGAGGAAGAGGAGGGAGGCGAGTTGGAGGCCCGCCTCGCAATGACGCGCCGCTAGGTGCTGCGCGCGGGGAGGGCGCCGAGCTCCTTGTCAGACCCGGAACGCCGACTGGAGGGCCGGGCCGGCGGAGGTGCGGAGCGGTGCGGCGCCGGGAGTTCGGAGAGGCCCGGGAGGACTGGGAGAGAGCTGGGGAGGACTGCGATCGCCGACCCTTGCAATCAGTGCGGCCGGGAGCCCGGCTGCTTCGCTCCAGCTTTGAGTATCCCCTGGACTGGGAGCTGCGGAGTATCCGCCTCTTGCTTGTGCCCCCCCATCAGCCGGCCCTCAGCCTCCGCAAGGCTCCCCCATGATTCCTTTTGAAGCAGGTCTGGAAAAATCAAGCCCACTTCTCTACTCCACTGCTGTTGTACTGCGTAGTTGCCTTTCCACTCAACATTTTGCTTTTTATTACGCCGTACACCACCCCCTCCCCCTTCCCTCTTCCATACTCTCAGGTCCTGACAAGTCTCCAAGAAACTGTGCTTTTTTTCCTCTACGTGTTCTTTCCCTCACCTCTACCCACCCAAACCATCTTTTGTCTGGATTGTGTCCTTGTAATAAAATGTTCAGAAATGCCCTTTCATGAACCATATTGTAAAACTCCCTCAGACAGAAGGATCCTCGCAGCCTTCGGACTGCAGATTAGTCTGTTAACTTTGACCTTCACTGTAGCCGGTGCCAAGCTAGGTCTGGAGTTGGGGAACGGAGGGTTATACCGGTAGTCAGGAGAACTGTGTTCCTGGGGAAAGCCACTTCACTCTCAGGGCTGAAGTGGCCTTGAATGCCCAGGGCATCTCTGAGCTGTAAGGGCTCTCTGGTTTTGGGATTCTGCAAATTTTCTCCCTGCAGATTGCCAAAGTAGTCATGACTTTATCTTTTGCAAGAGATCTTTAGCCTTAAAATGAAAACCAATTTAGGAAAACTCTCAAATTTGGGGAACGTTTTTTATATGTTAGTAAATTCTCGTTTCAGCAAATTAAGTTTAAAAAATTCTCTCTCCCCGGTGGTTTATTAACCAAGAAAAAAAAAAAAAAGCCGAGAAGGGGGTCTTGGATCAATCACTGGACAACTGCACTTTCCCCTCTGTAGTCCACTCAGGTTAACCTTTGCAAATGCTGCTTTGGAAATACATTGTTTGACTTGACATTTACCCCCTCCCTCCCCACCAAATATTATTAAGGTTTAAAGTTTAGGCATAAGTTAAGCTTTTAGTGATGTTGGGGTGTTGACAGCTAGTGAAATTCTTTTTCAAAAAATTTTTTTTGGTAACTGGAAAAAAAAAGTTAAATTTTATACCAATTTTTATTTTTTTACTTCAATACTACTCTCAAATAATGAAATTAGCATTTTTTTAGCACTTCTGGAGGGCAAGTAGAGGAAATTCATGAATCTTAGTATTGAATGAAAAGTATGCAGCTTTCTCATTTTTTAAAAAACAATACTATTATATAACTTTCCAAAGGGTTATTTAAAAATATAGCACTTTCTATCCTAAAACTTAAACATGTAGGTATATCATGTATTTTATTTTATTTTATTTTAAATGATGGTGATGATGATTTATTTATTTTTAAAGATTTTATTGTTTCAAGTAATCTACCCACAAATTGGGGCTCCAACTCAGGACCCAGGGATAAAGAGTTGCATACTTTACCGACTAAGCCAGCCAGGTGCTCTTAAACTGTATATTTTAAATATTTTTAAAAGCTATCTTAACAGTGGACTATCCCCCTCCAACCCAAAAATCAAAAACCAAAAACCAAAACCAATCAACCAAACAAAATACCACCCAAGTTATATGCAAAATCATTTAAAAGAGAATCAGTCAATAATTTGCCATTTCCAGGAGGAGTATCTGTTTTTCATATTTGAAGTATTAAAACGAACAAATATCATTGATGGAAAATCTCATGTTGCCAATTATGTCCCCCCCCAAATTGTTGGCATTCACGCAAGCATGATTCCTTTCAGCTTATTCCAGGGTAACTGAAATTTTTACTATGGTTTTTGATTTGGAGTTTTAGAGAAAAAAAAAAAAAAGATTTTTGCACGATTTTTCCAGGTCATGATGTGCTTCTGAGAAATCTCTACAGTTCCCTGAAGTAGTAATTGATTCCACTGAAGTATAGCAGTAATTTCATTAAATGGATCTCTAGTGGCCTAGAGGTGTTAACACATTTTTTTTCTTTGAAGTTATTATACAATTGAGTAACTTAACTTTAGAATCGTAGTTCCCAAAGTGTGGAACTCCAAGCACTAGTCCCTCAATATGTTCCTACAGTAATTCATTCACTGCAGAAATATTTATTGAGCTCCTACTATAACCCCTGGCTGGGGCCCTAGAAATAATGGTGAAGAACACAGATGTATATGTCCTGTTAGAATTTAGTTTGGTGGGGAAGATAAGTTACTAAACAATTGCAAATAAGATTTATACAAATTTTTTATGCAAATAAAATAATATAAATCATGATGAAAACAACAGACTTTGAGATAAATAATAATGTTTCCATTTTAGAGATTCATGATTAATATTAATGGTTTAGAGCTGCAGAATTTCTACTGTAAAGACATTTACTTATTTTATTCCCCTAAACCCTCAAATTTGTTTTGAGCAATGAAATTCTGTGAAGAATGTTTATTCATAAATTAGAACCATTTTTTGGGAAACTGCTTTTTTGAAACCAAGGAATCCAATGAAAATACATTTGTCAATGTAGATTCATATATTTTAATAGATTAATAAATATACATAAATGTGTTTGAAATAGGTTTTGTTTGAAGACAGATGATATAGAAACATAAGTACATTCATATATTTTAATAGTTTTAAAGAATAAATATATTTTTATGGATATTATCTGAAAAAAAGACAGAAATTCTTATAAATCTATTGAAGGATATGAATGTATGTCCGTATAAAACAGGTATTTTGGAGTTAACATGGTTTCATAAACATATTTCTATATATCAACATGATCTAGATACTTGTAATTCTTAATCACTCTGCGGCCCATAATATTAATATACAATCATTTTCTATCTTAAGCTTTAGGAAAATACATTTTCTGATGCTTTTACTAGTAAAACTAACACTGCTTTAGTTTCTTTGAATGATTTACTTTTGGGGGTAATAAGTGGAGGGAAGATTTTCTTATTAAACATTTAAAATGTGTATTTTTTAAAAAGATTTTTAAAATTATTTTAAATTTTAATTAAATAAACCTGCCCCAGGGTACAGGTCTGTGAATCATCAGGCTTACACATTTCATAGCACTCACCATAGCCCATACCCTCCCCAATGTCCATAACCCAACCACCCTACCCCTACCCCTCCATTGCTCCAGCAACCCTCAGTTTGTTTTGTGAGATTAAGAGCCTGTTATGGTTTGTCTCCCCCCTGATACCATCTTATTTCATTTTATCCTTCCCTATCCCCCACAACCCCCCACTCTGCCTCTCAAATTCCACACATCACGGAGATCATATGATAATTGTCTTTCTCTGATTGCCTTGTTTTGCTCAGCATAATACCCTCTAGTTCCATCCACATCATTGCAAATGACAAGATTTCATTTCTTTTGGTGGCTGCATAATATTCCATTGTATATGTGTGTGTGTGTGTGTGTGTGTGTGTGTGTATACACATACATACATACATATATATACACACACACACATATACCACATCTTCTTTATCCATTCGTCTGTTGATGGACATCTAGGTTCTTTCCATAGTTTGGCTATTGTGGACATTGCTGCTATAAACATTCGGGTGCACATGCCCCTTCAGATCACTACATTTGTATCGTTAGGGTAAATACCCAGAAGTGCAATTGCTGGCTGGTAAGGTAGCTCTATTTTCAACTTTTTGAGGAACCTCCATATTGTTTTCCAGAGTGGCTGCCCCAGCTTGCATTCCCACCAGCAGTGTAGGAGGGTTCCCCTTTCTCCACAACCTCGCCGACATCTGTCATTTTCTGACTTGTTAATTTTAGCCATTCTGACTGGTGTGAGGTGGTATCTCATTGTGGTTTTGATTTGTATTTCCCTGATGCCGAGTGATGTGGAGCATTTTTTCATGTGTCTGTTGGTCATCTGGATGTCGTCTTTGCAGAAATGTCTGTTCATATCTTCTGCCCTTATCTTTGAATTGATTATTTGTTCTTTGGGTGTTGAGTTTGATAAGTTCTTTATAGATTTTGGATACTAGCCCTTTATCTGATATGTCATTAGCAAATATCTTCTCCCATTCTGTCAGTTGTCTTTTGGTTTCGTTGACTGTTTCCTTCGCTATGCAAAAGATTTTGATCTTGATGCAGTCCCAATAGTTCATTTTTGCCCTTGCTTCCCTTGCCTTTGGTGATGTTTCTAGGAAGAAGTTGCTGCGGCTGAAGTCAAAGAGGTTGCTGCCTGTGTTCTCGCCAAGGATTTTGATGGATTCCTGTCTCACATTGAGGTCTTTCATCCATTTTGAGTCTATTTTTGTGTGTGGTGGAAGGAAATGGTCCAGTTTCATTCTTCTGTATGTGGATGTCTATTTTCCCAACACCATATGTTGAAGAGGCTGTCTTTTCCCCATTGGATATTCTTTCCTGCTTTGTCGAAGATTAGGTGATCATAGAGTTGAGTGTCTATTTCTGGGCTCTCTATTCTGTTCCATTGATCTATGTACCTGTTTTTGTGCTGGTACCATACTGTCTTGATGATTACAGCTTTATAATGCTTTATAATGTAGCTTAAAGTCTGGAATTGTGATGCCACCAACTTTGGCTTTCTTTTTCAACATTCCTC